TGAGATACTGCATGAAAGCACTTAAAACAGCCTCCACATTTTAAGTGTTCAATAAATGTTAGCAGTTATGAGTAGCATTGCTGTTATATTACATCAATGCCTAACACAATGCCTGGTTTATAGAAAAATCCTCAAAAAAACATTGTTTGACTGAGAAAAAGTGGTACAGATGGAGGTTACGATAGAGGAACACAGACTAAGCCCAAATTGTGGTAATGCTGACAGATGGGTTTGGTCTCTGTAAAGATCAGATTATGGGATTTTAAGAGAGAATTATACCTAGATATCTTAGAATGTTATTAAAGAGGAAAAGTTGGTAAAGTTTCATTTATATATGAGTGAAAAATCTCAGTATACATGCATTATCAGTATTGATGATTGCATGTTCTTGAATCACAAAATCTGCTCATGACAGATTTGAAAGACAAACATTTAAGGATAATAACAATGCACATTACTTCCAGGCTAAGAGAGCTAGCTTCGTTGTTTCAGTTCTCAGTGGCTCCATGTAATAACTATAGATGGGTACTATTTATTGTCTTTCATTGCTCAGAAGGAGAGGAGTAAGGTATGTGAACAGCCTAAAAACGAAGCCTCCAATGAAAAGATGCTTTTGCTCCAGAGAAACCAGAAATTGTGTGTAGACCTAATCAGGTAAAAATTGAAAGTGATGTATTGACCCCAACCACCTCTAGGTTATTTGTCAAATAAGCTACCATCTGCTCTTTATTCTTGCATCTAAAATCTTTTTTCTAACTTCCTGGCCTTCATTAATAAGAGGTTATACTCGGTGCTTCGGTCACACAACCTGTAGACCTTTCAGTCATCTTCTTTACAGTGTGTACTGTTGCCTCCCCCACCCTGTCTAGAGGTTCTGGTCTTGAATTCTGGACCAACTCAGTGGTAAACCCTAATCATAGGGCCCATTTAATTACACAGGGGTCAGGGAGTCTGTCCTACATTGGGGATATTTGGTGAGCAGCTCTAATGACTACCACAGGAATATGTACAGTGTAAAGAGAGTCACACCCCTTTTTGATTTGTATTTTGTAAAATGACAGGTGATATGATCTCAGTTCCCTAGATAACTGACAAATGCCCTTTGGTTTGTGTTCGTTACTTATCTTCTTATTATATTACTATTGTTGAGAAAATTCTAATCAAAACTCTCATTATGCTAGTATTATGTAAAGATTTTCACTACACCACTCCCATCCATTTTTAGTCTTAAAATTGACTTAAAACTTGTGGCCTCTGGATTTTCCATAGCTCTTTGAACTACCAGTGTTTGTCTGCTCTCTAGTCACCTACTGCGTCTTCCTTCATGTTTTCCTCTTACCCAGAAGGGCCTTCCCTTTTCTTTCCATCATCCATATCCTCCTCATTCAATAAGATTCATTTCCTTCAGGGAGCCTCTCCTTCCCTGGAATATAGGGAATCAGGAAATGCAAATTTGAGGACACGGAAGGGTGGTCCTGATAGATTAAAAAGGAGTGGGGGAGAGCGTTGTTTCTAGATAAAGGATCATTGGAAAGAAGTCCAGTGTGGCTCGACTCTAAGGGTGAGGGGATTGACAAACCAGGTGTGACTCATCAGGGCAAGATTATGGAAGGAGGGCTTGAGGTCAAAGTGAAGGAAATTTGGTTGTTATCTGTATGATCTAGGGACTCCATTGAAGAACTTTAAACAAGGTGTCAAGGTCAAGTTTACATCTTAAAATACTCACCCTGACTGTTATGTTCAATTAGGAGGCAGTTGCAGTAGGATGGCTCGGACTGGGTGGAGGTGGTGGAGATGGAAAGCCATGGACAGATTTGTGTTCAGAAATCTTGTCCCAGTTGTCACAGTGTCTGGTCAGTTGGGTAAAACAAATCGCCTGGAAAATGCCAATTTGTGGGCCTGGCTGGGTTCTCGTGGAGTTGAACATAGAAGCACCCACTCCTGTTTGAGTGATTTTATCATATTCCTCATTTTTAAAATCTTGTTTTGACTGTATTGACCCAGCAAAAAATAATATAAGATATATATGTGTGTGTGTGTGTGTGTGTGTGTGTGTGTGTATATATATATATATATACATATATATATATATAACAATATGTGATATTTTCAGCCTGTAAATCTATTTTCCTGTTCAAAGACAATAGATTAATTCTTCCTGTTCAAAGACAATAGATTAATTCTTCCTCATCTAAGGCTGAGAAGATTTCTGACTGCTCAAAAAGGAGGGTCCTTAACACTGAGTTTGGAGCTTAGGTAGTCCAGACTCTAGTGGAGGGGGGTGCCTTTGGATTTTTGCCTTTCATTGATGAGGCTTTCTGCCCTGCCCTCATGTACGCTGTGCAGAGCTTTGGCCAAGTCCTAATGAGGCCCCCTGTGCTCTGGGCTCCTTGTGCCCAATCAATGCAAGGCCGCCTAGCTTCTGTGCTCTGACAGAGTGCTCATTCTTGTGCTACATTAACGTAATGGAGTTAAAAATGATCTTCAGGGGGAGATTGATCCCATTCTTGGTAATATGTTTCCTAAAGTTGTTTGTTACAAATGTTTTTTTGCTGTCCTTTTCTCTAACAAAGACCGATGTTTAACTTTGCCCAGTGGGGTGTCTGTGAGACACCCATAGCTCTCATCTTTTACTTTTCGTTTTCTTAAACTCAATTGTGCATTGCAGTTTCTGAGGTGACTTGAAGTGGGTGCTGAGCAAGCCGTTTCTGTGTATTTACAGGCGAAACTCAGTCACAACATCGAGTGTGAACCTAGAATAATTCAATGTGATGTCCCTCCTGGCTAATCAGAGGCCCTGGCAGACAGCCAGGTTGCCAAAGAGGCATTTATGCAAAAGGAGAGCTGGTGACATGTGTCCTGGAAAAAGTGGCATCAGATCTGCTGTCAGTATGTAGCAGGAGAGAGAGAGAGAGAGAGAGAGAGAGAGAGAGAGAGAGAGAGAGAGACACAGAGACACTGTCTGACTCATACAAGCATGCAAATGTGTATGTGGAGGACAGTGTGGGGAAAGAAAGGAGGACCAGAGGAAGTTGAGCCATCTGAGGGAGACTCATTTTCCCTTCGCGGCCAGGCCCCCCATTTCCAAGAATAGGACCTGCAGACAGGGCATCCCGGATTGTCTCTGCTTTGTCTCTCTCTGTGTGTGTTTGTTTAATATTCATCAACACCCCATCTCCTGGGGCTTGGTGTCACAACCATTATTCCTCCATCGGAGGCTGGTTGTGGCTTCCTGCAGGGACCAGCCGTGCCTCTCCTTAATTGGCTGGTAGGGTCAGCAGCATTGACATGCACATTCCTGCCATTTTCCCTTCTTGGCATCTCCCCCCTTCGCAGTACATTTTCTAGAGGGGAGGGCCAGCAGGGCCAGGAGGAATTAGGGGTCTTGCCTGAGGAATGAAACCTGCTCAGGGATGCAGTTTCTTAGCCAGAGGCTTGTTCCCAAACCGAGATGCTGCATTCCAATCAAATGGAGGGGGTGCTTCCATTTTAACCTGATGGAGAATAAAACAGCCTTACTTTTGTGAAGCTTTTGGTCAGCGTAGTGGCTAGTAGCGATTTCAGTGTTCTTAGCATTTACAGGCAATGGGCACTCTACAGTATTGAGCGAAACCACGGTTATGATTAAATATCAACACCCACCACCTCCCTGTTCTCCCAGCACCACATGCTGTGTGATCTGAGCCTCTGAAGAACCTGAGACACGACTCTCTTGATGGCTATGTTGTGTTGCGTTTAAAACTGTGCAAGAAGAAAGCCTTTGACTGTCTGTTAAGTAGCTACAAAGTGCAAAAGCAAAACTACAAAAATAACAGCGTGCTTTTAGGAAAGTATGGTGAGTTTTTAAAAAGGCATAGTTCCGTCCTATCTGTGTATCTTTTCAACTCCTAAGTTTTTACTGTGCTCAGAATAACAGAGGTTACCATCAGTGGGGCATAAAGTATAACCTGAGGGTATCAATCATCTATAAGACTTAGGAAGGAAAGAATGCACAAAGGAAGAGGGAAAAGAAAAAACAAAACAAACCGGGATGGAAAAAGACAGGTGTGCCTACACTGGGGAGTGGAAGAGGGACTCCAGGGAGGGTCCGGTACCACTCGGGAGCATCAGTGCCATCCGTCTCATTTTGCCCAGAATTTTATTACAAATAAATAAAATAAGCATGCCCTAACCGGTTTGGCTCAGCGGATAGAGCGTCGGCCTGCAGACTGAAAGGTCCCAAGTTCGATTCTGGTCAAGGGCATGTACCTTGGTTGTGGGCACATCCCCAGTAGGAGGTGTGTAGGAGGCAGCTGATCGATGTTTCTCTCTCATCGATGTTTCCAACTCTCTATCCCTCTCCCTTCCTCTCTTTAAAAAAATCCAAATATGTTTAAGAAAACAAAACCAAAACCCAATAAGCACTTATTTCATGGGAGACTTTTTCACACTCTGAAATGGATAGTGACAAAGAGAAAGAGTAGTCAAGGCCCTGAGTGGTCCCCAAGACAGATAATTATTCAAAAAAACCAGAAGTATCACGCCTAAGGCTGTGTTTCAGCAAGAGTGGGGAAAGAATAGAAAAGTTGATGAGATAGTTTGGAATGGAGAACTAAAAAAAGGACTGTTTTACTGTTCTCCCCTTCCTTTTTTTTTTTTTAAGTAGGAAAGATCCTTTTATTGGGGTGGACACTGAGCACGCACCAGTCCGTGATAAAATGACTTAAGAGAATGATCCGAAAGGGTTGACTTCTTCCTGTGGCGTGCTCTCAGAGCAGGGTCCGGGCACGGCATAGATCCCGGCGGACCCGGCGTCAAGGCCAAGTCTTTAAGGCCGGACCAGGGGATGGAAGCGGGAAGAAGGGCCCCACCCCTGTCACCCAGCTGCAGCAGGGCTTATCGCTAGTCACTCAAAGACACACTCTGGTTCTCCAGAGAAGGATGGGGAGCAGGAGGAGGGGATTTGGGGTGGGGTGGAGTAATGAATAACAATGTTGTTTTTCAAGAAGCATCTACCAACATCACACTACTGGGTCTGACATGTGCATGTCTGGGCTGTCGGTCCGTGCGACCTTGTGGGGAGTCGCTGAGCTCTCGCCCTTGAGGTCCACTTGCTCCTGGTCTCTCTTCTTGGCAGCGTTCTTTTTGTCCCATTGCTGATGTAGGTAGCGCAAAAGGATGTTTGTTTTTTCTGTCACGATGATCTGTTCAGATGGGTACTCGCACGTGGGCAGGTAGACTGAGGGGCGTCGATTCGAGGCTTTACACACAGAGTCAGCATGAAATCGACTAAAATTGCTTTTGTTGTAGACTGGCAGTCCTTTCAAAAAATCTGCCATCTTCTGCTTCCTCTGTCGCCGCCTCAGCTACTGCCTCAGCCGCCACCGCTGCCACCACAGCCGCCTTCTTAGCCACCGCCCCCCTTCCTTCTTAAGATTTTGGAATTGGAACTTTGGGAGCAGGACTTTCTTAATGTTGTACCTACAACAGAGGTGGAGGTCACGATGCCCTCTGCTTTCCTTTCTGCTCCCATTGACCAAGATTCCTTAGCTTCCTTCAGTTACCATTCCTGGCTCACCCATTTTTCTTGTGTGTGTGTGTGTGTGTTTTTTTTTTTTTTGGTGGGAGGGGGGGCTCTTGGTGGCAGTCCTGTTCCTTAATAAAAAATACTTACTGTGATTCTTATGCCTGGCTGCCCTCGGCAATCTCTTGAGCAGCACAGATGGGGTGAGGGATCAGTATTTTGATGGTGCAGCCAGGAGTGGGTGCCCAGCCTATCCTGCCTGAGTTAGCAGCTCCCCAGCTGCCATTGCCCATGTTAGTTGGGCCTGCTGGGTGTTTACTCCTGGGGCAGAGACTCCTTGCCTCCCAGCTCCACTGTCTGTACTTGCTGGCCCAGTGCCAGAGTGGAGTCTGACAACGTGGCTCTGATCAGACTCCGTGGGGTGCAGCAGCAGGGCCCAGAGGCTCCTGTCCCATCAGTCGGCCCTTGCCTGCTCTGGCCCCAGATGCTCAGTATTTCTTTGGTTTGGCATCCCAGTGGGAAGCAGGTCATGCCAGCCCATTGAAACCCTGGGGAGCCCACACCCCATCCTGCTAACTGCTCTCTCTGAAGAAATTAATCACTGCTTAATTTCTTCCAAATCTATATAAAATACGTATGTGTTAATATATATTGATGCACAGACCCAAAAATATTCTTTTTAATTTATATCAAGAGACTATATGCATTGGAGGCAGGACAGCACAGTTGCAGCCATGAGGCTGGGTTCATGTTTAAGGCCTTGGGCTAGTTACTTTCTGCCTCAGTTTCCTCATCTGTAACAGAAGTGGTTCTGATTGAACCCAATAATGTTAAGAATGTGGAACAGTGCCTGGTGCATAGTAAATGCAGAATGAATGTAAATAGTTTATTACTCTGCATCTTGCTATTTTTTTTATAAACTTAAAATATATAAGGTCTACATATACTCCTATTTTTTCCCCTAAAAAATAAATGATTTTAGCAAATTGTCAAAATGTGCCCTTTTGTTATCTTTCAGTGCTGCAGAGCCTGGTTAGTGCAAAACATGCTGTGATTGTGCGCTGACTAGCATTTTATGTTAGGAATGAGCCCTAGCCATGTTCGCGGTGCCTTGTGCATTTAAAGGGAGCTGCTAGGTATGTTTTATTTGATCTTCCAAGCCAGCCTGTGATGTGGGTTAGGCAGGTGGTATTAATGCATTTTGCAAATAAGGAAATGGAGTTGGAATGGGATTTAGCAGACCTGCCTCAGGTCACATAGCCTTGTCTGGGCTGGGATAATGCCCAGCACTCTGCCTCCCTTTGATACTGCAAGTAACTCCTTGGGCCACCTACTGTGGGAAGTCCTGTTATCTTCAGCTGAGGAGGGGGCGGGGTGCTGAATGTGTTTCCCCCACAGTGAGGTAGGTTTGCTCAGATTTATCCACACTCCTTTTCCTGAAAAGAGATTGTTAGCACAGTCCCTGGGATTAGAGTTGTACTGTGGGGACACTGAAGAGATAAAACCAGGAAGTGGGTGTGGTGCAGCTGGGCATGGAAAAGAGCAGTGAACCAGTGAAGCAGAGGCAGGAAATGTGGTCTCAGTGTCTTCACTCTTTAAAATGATGCCTTGGTAGTAAATGTTCTCTAGGGTTACAGCTGAGGATTTAGGGCCAGAGAGGTTAAGTGGCAGTTCTAGGTCACAGCTAGTTAAGAGCAGAGCCAGGACTAGATATGGAGGTTTGATCATAAAAGAATGAGTAATCAGGGCTATCAGAACCCTTTCTCCAGCCCATGCATCCAGCTATCAGCAGTGTGTTCCTTTAGCAAGAAGAGCTTTAGTATAATGCTGACAGTAAAAGCATAATGTGAACCACATAGGTAATTAAACTTTTTTTTTAAAATATTGATTTTTTTGAGAGAGAGAACAAGAGTGAGTGTGAGAGAAACATTGATTTGTTGTTCCACTTATCTATGCATTCATTGGTTGCTTCTTGTATGTGCCCTGACTAGGGATTGAACCCACAACCTTGGCGTATTGGGACAATGCTCTAACCAACTGAGCCACGTAGGTAATTTTTAATTTTCTAGTAGCCACATTAAAAAAGTAAAAAAAATTTTTTTGGATAACATTTTATTTAATCCAATATGTAGAAAATATTATTTCAACAGGTAGTCAATATAAAATTAATTTTTTAAAAAATTCTGTGTGTATTTTACATTTACAGCATGTCTTACTTTGGACTAAATAGATTTCAGGGACTCAGTAGCCACACGTGGCTAGTGATGACTGTAGTGGACCGCACAGCTCTCCAAGGGCAAGAACTGGTTAAAACGCATACTGTTCAAGTTGCTTTGAAACAAAGACTTTACCTCTTGCCCCTTGTCGACATTTAATGTGCATTTTGGTTAAACTCCCTAAAGCACTAAAGAAACCAGGTGAAATTTGCTGTTAATAAATGCCAGGGAAAATTCTGTCTTCAAAACCTGTAATTTAGGAGTTGGCGATTCACATTCTAAAAATTATGCTTTGTATAGATTTTAAATGATAAATTCTTATAGTACCTTTGTGTTTTCTTCTAATATATTAACTATTTTACATACACAAAAAATCCAAGGAATTAAGAAGTTTTATTTGGTACTTTACTACTTGAGGATTAATGAATATGTATAAAAATTTCAGAAAAAAGTAAGTCAGTGGTAATTTGAATGATTAAAGTTTGATTTTGCTGCAACTTTTAAAGGGAAGATTGTTGCTTATAAGGTATTAACCTGAATAACATTTTAATTTTTTCTTGATTTCAGAGAGGAAGGGAGAGTGAGAGAGAGGTAGAAACATCAATGATGAGAGAGAATCATAAATTGGCTGCCTCCTGCACACCCCACACTAGGATCCAGTCAGCAACCCCGGCATGTGTCCTGACCGGGAATTGAACCATGACCTCCTGGTTCATAGGTCAACGCTCAACCACTGAGCCACACTGGCCGGGCCTAAATGACATTTTAAATCAGTGAGCAAGATAAACATGGAGCAGTTAAGACAACTGGATTCTAGTCTCACTCTGGTTGTAAATAAACTCTGGGGCAAAGTTCTTAGGTTAGATCTATTCATTACTTACAAAACAATATCCAAAATCATTTCATTTTTTTAAAAAAACATTGATTCAGATAACTATTTTTTAATGGTTATCAGATATACAACCCTTTTCTGCTCAGGACTACAACTCTGTATTCACAAGGTTATTTCATTGGGAAAGTTATATTCGACTAAGGTTATTTTGATTGATAGACTCTCTCTATCCTCTCTATCTCCCAATATTTTACAACATCTTTCAAAGGACTATAACTTGCCCAAATGTTAGAGAGATATAAAATAAAGATATGAACCAGAACAAAATAAATTGATGGAGACAGCATGTAATGAAAATTTGTAGGACTGCAGTGCACATGAAGAATAGATTGACTGGGGAGCATTTGAGATCTTGCTCCCTGGCTCAAATAAACTCATAAAAGAAAAAGAAAAAAAAAAGAAGAGTGGATTGACTTGACAACCAAACCCATTATGAATTCAATGCTTGCCTACCATCTTTTCCTTTCTTGTCTTTCTTTCTGTGATTCAAGAGCAGTCATTGATCATTTGCTATATTTAAGGAGATTCTATAGCTAAAGTTTATAGTCTGCAATTTCTATTACAACAGGAAAAAAAGGCTTATTGAATAGGTACATGTTTTGATATATCCTTAAAAGTAGCTTTAGAAGGTATTTATTTCTTAGAATAATTGAATTTAAACATGGAGGACTCCTTTATAAAAGCTGTGTTGACTACTTAATATCTTGAATTTCTTTTTAAAAAATATGTTTTTATTGACTTTAGAGAGAGAGGAAGGGAGAAGGAGAGAGAGAAACATAGATGAGAGAGAAACACCATCAGCTGCTTCCTGCGTGCCCCCTCCTTGGGGATGGAGCTCACAACCTGGGAATCAAACCTGTGACCTATTGGTGTACTGGACAATGCCCAACCAACTGAGCCACACTGGCCTGGGCATGAATTTCTTATAATAATTCTCACCACCATCTGATAGAGTATGTATTTTTACTTACATATTTTGTTGAATGAGTAAGTAATTGATTTTTTAGCGACTGTTGGTCCTCTGTTGCCTCTGAAAAATTTTGGTTGAATGTAGAACTGACATGGTGTAGGTATGTAATAATCATTTGGTTGATTCTTAAAAGTGGAGAAGGGAACGGAATAAAGTAAGTAGAAGTCTAAGCAAAGGAGAGTGAGTGAGTTGAGAACACCAACCGTCTTTTGCGCTATAAACACCAGCACATCACATCCTCTGTGGAAGTGATGCTGAAGGAACAGAAATATGAAATAACAGGGCTCTGGAACAAGACTGTCTTCAGAAGCATGATGAGCTCAGAGAGCCTGTAAAACCTGGGTTCTAATAGTAGTTCTTCCTTTTTATGTCATCCCATAAATTTGAGATGCAAAGAAATATTTTCTGCTTAAAATTATTTTCAATTACTACTTAACCAGTAATACCCTGGGGTGGGGTTTATTGCCTTTCCTATGAATCTGGAAGAGCCTTGTTTGTGAAAGGGGCTCCAGTGAACAGTTTTTGCGCTGTGGCTGTGTGTGGGTCTGGCAGGTGTATTGATGGCCTTCAGGTGGATTTCCTTCTGGGTGTGGAATTGGGCATGCCTTCAGCGAGGAAGGGAGGGAAGGAGGGGAGAAGGAAGGAAGGAAGAAGTGGGTTGTGGGCACTCAACCAGTTCCTGGGTAAGTTAGTTTTCACTGAGAAAGGCAGTTAGTGGAGGTTTCCAAAGGATTCAGTCTCCGGCTTTGTTTTTTCATTGATTGCCAGAACTGGAGAGGACCTTTATTTAGTTGTTATCCCATTTCACAAATGAA